AAATGACCAATCAGGCGTCGTTCAAAAATTTTTTTTTGAACTACGAGATTCTACAATATGCAACGAAAAACTTTTGTCTAACAAGGCAAGTCTATATTCTTTCTCAAACACAGTTTTCTGGTCAGATTGTTTTCATCGGGTCGGGTGCGGGTCGGCATTTTGGCAGTCGGGTCGGGTTCGTGTTAGGTGCTCTTAACCCGTGCAGGTCTCTGGTTGTTGTGATGCACAGTCAAATATGGTGCAAAATAAAGGTAAAGCGTTATTCTTAGAAATGAATAATGGCAATATATATTGTCGCAAAATTTATAGTTTTATTATTCAGACACTATACACTGGACATGCCCCAGTTTCAATCTCAGGCTTGGAGGATTGGTACCAATTCTCCCCCCCCCAATCTCCTGTTAGGCTTGATACCAGTCGGACTGGCCGACCAGTTAGGCTTGGTCGAATGTAGTAGCCAAAAGCTTCTCCGTGTGAGAATAGAACAACTACAGGTAATAAAATTAAGATAGAATACTAAATTCTAGGGATAGTGACCAATGGATTATCTAATGAATGAGAGAGTAAGGAGTTATTCGTCGAGAAATCTATAATCTGGAAGAAAGTAAGACTATAGTTTTTTCATGAATACAAGTAAAAAGCTTTTTACTTTGTTTTTCTGATGAATCTTTGTATTCTATTTTTCACGTCATAATTAAAATCAACTGCATTTGTTTGATTTTTTAGAATCGTTAGCGGATCAAAATCAAATATCATCGACCACAGCACGAGAAAATATCATAAATTTGCACGAAGAATTATCGTTACTATCTAGTGAAAACATCATCAATAGTATCACCAATTCTGAAAATTTAACAGGTATTAATAAGCATGCACAGGTTATAACCGACTTTTTTTGTAAAAACATTTTCTCAGCGAAAATTGATTCTCTAAACTTTTTCTAACAACTGGATATGAGAGCGTTCTTCGTCTTGATCCAGTACTTATGGAAAAAAGATTTCTTAAAAGTCCCATGCTCGATTATAACCGATTTAGGCCTCTTCGTCGAAAAGCAATTGCGACAGATATAAAAAACATGAAGGGCTTCCGCCATTGCTCATCTTGTAGGAAAATGTTTGCTCTACAAAACTCAGTTATTAGAAAAATTTTAAAATGCATACTTTTCATGCAGTCCGTTTCAGAACAGAAGGTGAAATTTATCAGTTATAACCGGTGCATGCCTAAGTATTAACAAATTTGATAAGAAATTAAATTGTTTAGGTAATTTTACTAAACTGAGTCCATGTAATAGTATAATTAATAACGGAACCTTAAAGGGGTTAATTCAAGTAATTCCCTTGGGTGATCAAACCCCACCTAACTCTACATCTACAGAAAAAACAAAATCAAAATAACACCAAAAGAAAGAAACAAAAAATATTAATATTACCATTATTAATTAACATAAATATTAATAATATAAAAATTATATTTTTTCTATTAAACTTCACTAACATATAAAAATTAATAAATGAAAACATGACAGTAATAGCAAAAAAAGGTCAAGAACTTAACTTCAATAAATGATAAAGGATTTATCATGTATTAACTATTCTTTAGCCTAAAAAACTAAAACTTTAAATAAGCTATATCAATAACCACTAAAATCTAACAAAGAAACAGATTCAAAAATTCAGATAGGTCTAAATGATGATTAACCCCGCAAATTTCAGAACACCATGAATAACTGAAGCTCTCATATCCAGTTGTTAGAAAAAGTTTAGAGAATCAATTTTCGCTGAGAAAATGTTTTTACAAAAAAAGTCGGTTATAACCTGCACATGCTTATTAATACCTGTTAAATTTTCAGAATTAGTGATACTACTGATGATGTACTGCGTGCGCATTTTTCAAAAAATGTGACTAAACAAAAAAAAAAAACTCCGAGTAATCGGATAATGTCTGTCGACATAAAAACATTTTTTTGCTATTGTAGCTATCCAGAAGCCTATAGTTTCTCCAGAACTTAATTTTCCCTTGATCAGATGTTTTCTGGTAAAAAGAAAATAACTTTTCACCTTTATGATCATCAGGATCTCCGGAAGAACTCGACGGTTCTTTGCAGAATTTCCGCTCTTCTCCTGAAGAAGTCGAACTCGCAGAACATTCATTAAATAATTTTTCTCTGATGGGTAGTCGTTTCGTTGAACAAAACTCTTTTTAACAGAATGGTGTGTTGGTTTAAGGGTCCTCTCTACACATTTTTTTTCTAACGGATTTGAACGAAACTTTTAAGGACTAAAGTTCATAATGTGAACAGGTTATGATAAAAATGTTTGTCTATCTATGAACATTTCGGGTTGAAAGCCCAAAATTGTTAACTGTTGTAACTCAAACATCTGCAGTTTTCTCTGAAACAAAGTCGAAATTGAAAAGCCTGTTTTTCTTATATTGTGCAATTTTGTCCAGGCATTCACAAACAAAAAAATCTTGATGCGTAAAATTTAGAACAAATTTGAATTTCTGACAGCTCATGAAAAGAGAAGGAAATTAGGTCATACAAATTATATTTTGAGAGTACACAAGAGCTCTTTTAGTGGAGTGTGTTCAAGCAAATTTGAGTGCATATTGAAAAATGATATTTAGTGTAACGTCACCTTTTTCACACTTTTTGTAGTGGAAGGGTAGAATTAATACCGAAAATGCTTATAATAATGAAATGTAGCTAATCAAGGTTTAAGTATAAAGCCTCTTGCTGTTAAAAGTGTCTTCATTTTTTCGTCGTTGTAGTCACATGCTAGACACAATAAGGACACATTGGAGGCACTTGTAAGACATATTAATGAAAACGATAACGCGCCATCAAATAAATCGTCTGTCATGGTTTCCATAGGGTTTTATCTGTCAAAAAGCTTTCTTTCACGGCGTAACGCCCTTCTCAACAATCACTAATTAACTAGCGCCATTATTTCTTTTATTTATTTCGCAAAATACAAGTGTCAATAAAAAAACAGTTAAAAGGTGTTGTTTTTTTACTGTAATACTTCAATTTTTATATCATATTATACTCAATCTTAACAGCGTTAATAACAACGCTAAATACTTTGTGCGACATCACACTAAATTATTTCAACAACAAAGGAATGACGATTACTTGTTCAAGCGAATCAATCAAGTAATAGATATACAAGTTTGTTATGAACAGTTTCAGCCAAATCTGTAGAGCGCTAACAAAAATGATTTTTTTACTTCGACTCCATATGCAAAACTTGTCCACCTAGCGATGTCTTTTAAATTAAAAAATTTCCTCTCCTTGTATGGCAAATGTATATCTCGCGTTCTAAGCGTTTTTCAGATCAATGGCTGGCAGACTAAAAAAAACTAATAAATAATTGTTGATTATGAAAAATAATATATACGCCGATTTTTTATTAAAATAAAATTCTATAATCCGCACTAAAACTTCAAGCACAATAAAAGTTGTAATTAAACAATGAGTCACCATAAAAGAAACAAAAAAAAAGATCCCAAACAAAACAGATCCTCAAAAGAGCTAGAACGAAACGAATGGAGTAATGGATCCGGCAGCAATTTTTTGCAATTATCCTCTATGTACAAAATCACAATCACATTCTTTACACACAGGCAAATTGCTCTAGTCACAGAAAAGAAAAAGACGTACTATACGAACTTTTCAGAGATTTAAGAAGAGAGACGATTGATGAAAAGGGGAAAAATGTGTTATTAATTAGTAAACAGACAAAAAAAAGATTGTAAAGAAAATATATACAAGAGGAATAGATGTACAACGAGAAACATGAACAGAACAGAAGTTTAATTTAATTTCTTGTCATTTCTTTTGATATCTTAGATCATAATGGTTTTATCAACTCTTTTTGTAATTATATGAATATTTTTCCTTCATAATACACGTTTATTTATTTATTTCTAAATGTTTCGATTGACTAACTCAGTCCCCGTCAGTGCATACAGACAATTAATTATATTAAACTAAAATACATAAATTGAATAAAATTTCCTTTTTTTGTAATAATACATAGGAACTCCTGACATGCATACAGTAGATGACACAACCTGTATCATGACAGCAACTTCAACCGTTGATAACAAAATTGCAACCATTGACTTTTCAGAGTTTTTCCTCCATCGTTTTTGATGAACTTTACCTCATTTACGGTTCAATTCAAAGAAATTTCTTCTTAACATGTAAATCTTCTACATGTATGGGTCCCTTTCTTTCTTATTCTTTGTTTTTCAAATTTTGTAACTTGTACAAGCAAGAATTTTCTAGGTTATGAAAGAAAAGAAGAAAAAGTTAATGCATTGTTCTGATACAGTTGTTGTCATGTACTGTATGTATGTAAAATTTGTGTATTTTGTTTGTATTCACTGACGAGGATTGAGTTAGTCAATCGAAACGTTTAGAAATAAATAAATAAACGTGTATTATGAAGGAAAAATATTTATATAATTACAAAAAGAGTTGATAAAACCATTATGATCTAAGATATCAAAAGAAATGACAAGAAATTAAATTAAATTTCTGTTCTGTTCATATTTCTCATTGTATATAGATTCCTCTTGTATATATTTTCTTTACATTCTTTTTGTTGTCTGTTTGCTAATTAATTTGATGAGCAAAAATATTGATACCGAAGTAGACAGATATAGAAAAACAGAACGAATTAAGATAATATTGGTGGGTCAATGTATGAGAAACAGAACTGATATTTTATGACTGAAAGAAATGCGATGAGATGATACATGTCTATCAAAAACTATCCGCATTTTATGCAAATAATTTTCATATCGTTGGTTTACGGTAGTAGTATAGAAGAAAATAACACGTTGATGAACACATATCATCGATTTTGATAGAGATTTTAGCAATTACAAATGAAAGACTTACTCAATGAATCTGCAAAAAGTCACTTTGGTTATGTTAACTTTTGTGTCCGTCCGACTACTTCATACATATCTGAAGTTAATAAGAAAATGTATTAACACATACAATATCCAGCAGCATTTTCAGTTGAATTTGAATTTATTGTATTTGTTTGACCATTATTATTCGTTCTATCAATGGAAATTAATGACTGTGAATATAATTTTGGTTGTGTCATTAATGGTTTGGAATATTTCAATTTATGAGCTAATAATAAAAATATCGAATTTACATGATCTTGTTGATTGTCTGCTTTTGCACTCGTTTCAAATAATGGCATATTATTCGTATCTCTAAAATAGAAATTAATTGAGCATAAGGTAAACTATGTCTATGCTATTATTTTGTTTTTTTTCGTACGCAAATCGTTGAGCTGTAGACGTTTGTACAACAATATATTCATCACTAAATAATAAATAATTGATCTTATATAAGATATACGAGGACAATAAACAGTAAATAGCACTTACTCAACATCACATTTATTTCCAACCAAAACTCGAGGTATTTCAGGATCAATTACATGTTTATCACACTCATTAATCCACAATGGTAAACTTTCAAACGTTGCCAAATTCGTTACATCATAGACATAAATGATAGCATGGACATTACGATAATAATGATTAATCATTGACTAAAATATTCAAATAATAAAAATAACTTAATCTTCTTATGTGAAAATACTTACTCGACGAAATCGTTCTTGTCCAGCTGTATCCCATATTTGTAGTTTGAATATTTCATCGTCAATTTCAACTGCTTTTTCTCGAAAATCAACACCAATGGTTGCTTCAGATTTTTCTGGAAATTTACCAGTGCAAAAACGATATGTTAAACACGTCTTTCCTAGAGCAATTAAAAGTAAATGAAAGATTATTGAATTATGTTACAAAAAAGAGGTAGAAATAATTTCATTGTCTTACCAACATTTGAATTTCCAATAACAATAATTTTAAAAATTCGTTTTGGTTTTTCTTGATCATTACTACTCTCGGGCTGAGCTATTGAATCAGTCATTTTTCACTTATTTTAGATCATTAAAAACAAAAAATTCAAATTATCGATCTAAAACTAAACTTTTAAGATCAAGGAATAAGTTATTCAACGTTATTCACATTTTTTTGAGTAAAAGTTTCAAACCTAAATCAATTTTGACAAAGATTATGTCATATTTCTAAGTTATATCTTTCGGCGTAGTGATTGACCGTTTCAGAACTGCTGCAACGATACCAAGAAAATAAAGGATTCAGATTTTGTAAAAAACAAAAAAAAGTACTCTTTTGTATTATATTTATTATATAAAAATCTTGTACACTAAACAAATTATGGCAATGTAAGATATTTTTGCAAAACAAAATCTACATCGATTTCAGTTAATTTGTTGAGAAAAAGAGAAGAAAACTGCACATAGTATAAAAAAATAATTATGAAAATTGCACTGTTAGTGAAAAAAACCTGAAATCAATCAAAATATGAATGACAAAACTGACTATTATTTTATCGTTAATATACATGAACATTCAATGTCAACGAGAAGAAAATGAGATTTATTGAAAGTTGACTTTAATTGCAATAATCGATAAACAGAAACATCACATTTATGTTAAATAAGCGAGAAATTAACGAATAGATTACAGAAATCAAGACAAAGCTAATCGACTAAGTTGATGACAACTTGATGATATATCGGGATCTTTGGTTTTTTGACATAATGAATTTAATGAATAGGTACTGGGTGATATTGGTGGTTGATAAACAGAATTGGGTATATGTAACAGACACGAACCGGCACGTCTCGTGCATAATGAGACACACTAAAGAGAAAATATGTGAAACGCTTAAACTAGAGCGAATAACAAAAGTAAATGAGGCTGGATAGGTATGTATCGTTCATTTTTGTTTCGTTCATACATAATCACTTACTTTCGTCCAAGTATTTTTATCTGTATCATATTTTTCCATTTCATCCACAACTTTTTCTCCATTAAATCCTCCAACGGCAAAAATTTTGTTACCCAATGCGGCAACAGCAATTGCTTCCTTTGGACGAGAAAAACCCGCAATCAGTGTCCATTGATCACATCGCGGGTCGTACCGTTCTCCATCATCATGCCTAAATTGAATACATAAACATTTTAAAATATTTGAATTCGAATGTTTTAATTCAAGACAATCGATAAAATACCTTATCGCATTTTTATTATTTGCCGATGAATCTGCGTGTCCACCAATTGCAAAGAGAAAATCATTACAGACAGTTACACCAACTCCACCACGTCGCTTTTGCATTGACGCACATTGAAGCCATTTATTGGTATGTGGATCATAATATTCGACACTTCGCAAGCCCGCTGAGCTTCCATCACGACCTCCCACAGCGTAGAGACGATTTTCTAACACGCCAACACCCAAGGTACATCTTGCATTTGACATACTCGCTACATATGCCCAAACTCGTGTTTGAGGATCAAATCTACAAACTAAAAGAAGTCGTTTTAGTTTGACTCACATTCTCCGCTCTTACCGTTCAACCGTGTTTAAAAAGGACCATCCGTCATGACCACCAACAGCATAGAAAGGGCCACCTAATTGTCCCACACCTAATCCATGTCTATTTGTTAACATCGGAGGGGACATATGCCACTGTTTTTTGTGTAAATCATAATATTCTACACTGTTCAAACTAAGATAGAAAGAAATAAACACAAATAAAGAAAAAAGTTTGATTGAAAAATGTTGATAATCAAACGCACGTTTTTAGCCCATCTCGTCCTCCAACAACAAATAATTTTTTATCTAATAAAACACAAGCAAATTGTAAACGTCGACTATTCAAATGACCATCATAATCCCAAAATCTGGTGCGAAAACAATATTTTTCGATTGTCTGAGGGCCTATCAAAAAAGCAACCTTTTGTTCATGAATTTAAATAAAGAGAAAATCATCTTATTCACCTTTAGCAGTATCCATTCCTCCTAGACAATAGAGTGAGCCAATTGTTGATCGTCGAGGCTTTGTTCTTATTGTCTGCATTATCGAACGTCGTTCAGGAACTAAATGATAGCGCATAGCTTCAATGATCAACGCTTGACATTGTGCATTTTCTTTAAATAATGGATTTGAATCAATATGATCGGTTAAATACTGAACAGGAAAAAAAACGAAGAATAGATTAAAATCACATTTCCAAGAAAAATTAGTAAAACATACCGTTGGCTTAATTAATGGTAATTTAATAACACCTAACAATTGAGCTAAATCATCATTTTGTCGTTTGTCTTTATCATATTGTAACCATGATAGAAATGCTTCAAATACAACTTGTTCAGAGTGTATGTTTAAATCGTCTAGAAAAAGAATATACTCATTGAAGTTTGACTTTAAATATTTTTACTATCAACAATACCTGATTCTAACAATTTTTTCAGTTCATTCGCACTTAATTCAAGAAATTCATGATTTTTGACTACATCACTGAAATGCTCCTATTAAAAGAGAAAATAATGTCATATCAGATACAATGAATCGATTACATGGATATTCTACCGTAATAAAATCATAAGAGACTTTGCATAAATCGTTTAAACTATGATGTTCAGCAAATCTGAATATGCCCAGACAATTTGATGCATGCAATTGTTTTGTAATATAATTGCAACAAGCTTCAACAATCTCGGAAATATGTAGCATATTTGCGGCACTCAAAATACCAGTAACAGAATCAATTTTGAAATCTATTTTACCTAAAAATTAGAGGAGAGAATACAATTGAGAAAACAAAGTATGTGCAATTATTCATTCCCACACATACACATACCTTCATATGCGTAATTAATCAACTTTTCTAACGCATCCGGATCAATACCATTAACGATGACTTCTTTTTGTTTTGTTTCTAACATATTTGAGGAAAACATTGCATGAAAATAGTCTGACACAGAACTGATAATAATACGATGTGCTTCTATTCGTTTATCACCACAAATCAATAATACGTCGCATAAGAATTTCTGTTGAAAATATTGAGATATTTTATTAAGAGTCTTATTTGAATGATTCGATGATGAAAAATATGTATTATCATATGTTTCATCACAACACGTTGCCGTTGAGGATGATTTTGAAATTGGTACATTATCCATTATTTTAGAACAACAGCGATGACAACTTAAAAAAAATTATTTAGCATACCCTTTAAAAAGGAGAAAATTATTTGGCTTACTAATATTTGTACATTATTTAATTTGGTCAATCAGCAACCTGAGTGTTAATCCGGAATAATTCTGTTTGCCTATAACTTATCACCATTGTAACTTAATAAATAATTCTTCGGCTTAAATATCTAATCTAAAAATCACATTTATAATCTAAATTATAATCTTTTTCGATAGAAGTGTATTCACTTCTATACTTAAAGAATAAAATAAACAAATCGTAGCTCGGGGAGTATGAATGATAACAGCGGTGGAACAAGAGAGATAGAAGAAAGCTCTTTTATACTAATCATCGTTGTTCTTACGGACTTGACAGTAGATCTCGTCTCACAGACTCAAATGCAAGCTAAAGAAAGAAACAGAGTGACTGGGACACTATCCTAGAGCAACAAAAAACACTTAACTCAATCAAATAGACGGTGATTATATGTGAAAATGAAACTCGGCTTGATATGAATTTCGATTAATTAATTAAGTAACACAGAATTATGAGTTTTGCTTGTTGCGCTTTCGATAAACGCTGGAGATTTTTGAATATTAAATATGAAGTAACTACCCATGGAGTTAAAGCAACTTTTTCTATCTACTTTGCCATGGGATAAGATATTTCCTTTCTAATTTATGTGACTCTCTGAAACCTGAAAAATAATTTTTTTGACCATAACCCATGGATCGACTTAACCCATTAACCATATCTTCAGAACTCTTTAAAATAAAGATTAAAAGCAAGAACAACAAAAGCAAACTAACTCTGGAAGACAAAAACACGTTCAAAAGCATATTTAAGAGAAGCGCTAATCTCATAAATGAAAGATGCCATTGTTTTTTATCAGGAGTCTTAAACAATAATATGCAATTAGCATCACACAACAGAAGATTCTACAGTTAGTATGCATAGCCCAAGACGTCACAGTGGTTTTCGGATTTGTATGACTTTCGGACTACTTAGATGGTCTTTCTCTACGGACGTCCATGGATATCGAGGACCTTGTGGCCTTATTCTAAAAAGGCTTAGCCATACAAGTTTCTATCCACGACAAAGGTAGAGTAACATCAACGAACTATCTATTTGATTTAATGCAACGGTTAATGTACGCTAGAACTGAAAAGTTAGGCTTAAGTCGCCATTAGTATTATCGTGCATTTTTATCTGGACTCAATTTAACAGATGATAGATATATGATCCGTCTTTTACTCATTTTTATTCTATTCGTTCACCAAGCAGCCTATTACTGTAAGATTTAATAAGAGAAAACTATTTCGTCAAGCTCACAATTTGTTTTATCCAAATAGAAAAGGACTGTTGATAAAACTGAAAAATGTGGTGTTTGGGGCTTCATTATTCACCTGAGTAGAGCAATAGTAGCGACACTTACCTAATTGAATTCGGTAGATTTTTCTCTTTCTTTGATAATGTTTATTTCATTCTATGTAACTAGCAGGGATCCTAGATCTTCTAATTCTGGCAGAAAAACTCTGATTTTTGGAACTTTTTCTGTCTCGTTTCTGCTCTTTTTTGCCCTAAGGTCTACTGATTTTCTACTTCTTTTTCTCAGGTTTTTCTGATTTTCGTGTTTTGCATCTGGGATCCCTGGTAACTCGGTTAAGTGTTCTCAAAGCGTAGATTTTTGGTAAAACCACAAGTTACGTACGTGGAATGCATATTCTTCAACAAACATCTTGTTCTGGCACATCAGAGTTTAAGAATCAGTACTATTTTCATATTTGTTCCTTCAGCAGCGATTTTTCGCGCTTTCATTCTGATGAAAGAATATCTGTGAAATTGAGAAGTTTTCATCAGTGTGTACCTGTACAAACTCTTGCAATTAATTATATATTTATGTGTCTTAACTGAAATGATTTAAACTAATCAAGTAATATAATAAACAGTTAAAAAAATTTTCATACCAAACTTATAAAAACGAATACGAATATTTGATATGTGTTTTTATTTATTAAACACATGTTGTTGATACTTCTCGATTTCGTCGATCACTATCACCCATTTGTTCATCATCTAAACCATCTAATTTTAATAATACATTGTTATCATCATTTGTTCTGAAATGACTTCTTCTACCGCCGTTACGTCGATATGCTACTCGAAAACAATCGACACACGGTTCAAACAATATATTAATTAAACGAAATAATGGTTCAATTGATCGCGCTAATACATCTGTTGAATTCCATAAAAAAATACCAATAGGTAATATCAAACAATTAAATAATCCCGAATGAAATGGTTTAATTATTGTATCGGCTGCAATAACAGGTACGCGTGTCAAAAATGGCTTAATCAGGCCATCCAGAAACGTATGAACAATTTCTATTGGTATAGTAATAAGAATTGCTAGTAGTATTCGAATATACCAAAATATACTTTGAACAAAATACGATGTATTTCTCAGTAATCTAAAAAGTGACTTTCATATTTAAGATAGCTGTTGAACTATTTCAAATGTATGCATACTTTTCCAATTTGCTTATTTTATCTTCATCAAACGACGGATCAGTCCAATAATATTCTTTTCTAACAGGTTCAAATATATACGACGGTCTAAAGTAATACGATCATTTAATATAGTTTGATTTAGATTATCAAGAGTAAACTTACTGGCGACTTTCAAAAAAATTAACCAACAATTCGGTATATTTTGACTTAATGATATGTTCAGCTTCATTTAACGTTGATAAATGATTTGGTGGAGAATATTTTGACTGGAAAGAGAAAATAGAGTACAGTAGCAGCACAATGAGTATGGCAGATGGACATTTAGCCGAAGAGTGAAAGTCATCATTCTTAATTTCATTTAGTGAGTAATATACTCCAGTTTGTGGGCTATTTATTCTGTACTTGTAAAATTATTAGAAAAACTCAAGTATAAAAAATGGAATAAAAAACCATACAAACAGTAAATTTCGACCTTTTCAATTAAGTTAAACGTATCTGTAACTTTAAAAAATGATGCGCATAAAACTTTATTCAATGACGAGTATTCTGACGAAAAAAAGTTCTTAGTTTGCACCTAAAATCGCTGAAAAAAATCAACGTTTTCTACGCTGATAACATTTTCCTAAAATGTTGTTCTTGGTATAATGAGTTTGCCACTCTTTCCCAGCATTTTTGTGCTCAAAATTTGTACAAGATCTCATCTGAAAATTTAAACAGGAACATGTCTTTTCTTTAGATGGATTTCTTTCTTTTTTACATAAGTGTAGCTGCTTCCATCTGAGACTCATCGGTGTTAACTCGTCGTTTCGACGTGAGTTAACTTTTCAGCCGAGTGACTCGCCCGTTGGATGAGCTTCACTGACTGGCTCAGGTGAGAAAGAATTTTGGAAAGAAAGTGGTAGTTTTTCTTATGTAAAATAAATTTCAATTTGATCGATGGAAAAAAAGCTAAATTACGCTTAAAATTGGGCACCAGAGTCGAATTAAGCATTTATTCGTTTTTGAGAAATCCCTGGGGACTCCCTGGGAAATCCATGTCGTGATTCCCTGGGGAGTTTTTTCAGGGACGCACTGGGAATTTTTCTAGATTAAGTGGACTAGAGTATATTTCTAGAATTTTATATAATCTTTCTAATAAACCAAATTTTCAACGCAAATTTCATCGTTACCAAAGCATCTTCAGTCAAAACATATACCATATTGAGGTATTATTCATACTGAGAGTCAATTCATCAAATGATATATCCTTCGAAAGTGTAGGCAAAGGTTTTTTCTCGGTTAATTTTGATGAAAGAACTTTTTTTTCCAAAGTCGTTTGAAATAGACATGTATGAGAAGTTAAACTAAACTAAAATGATAGTTTTGAGCATGAAAAATCAAATTTTCGCCTGCTAATCCCAAAATATCCACTGTAAATAGTAAACCCTTCGTAACATGTGGTAGTATTGAAATTATAAATGCAAAATGAGTGAGCAGTTTTCTTAGTTCCTACATTTTTATAATTTTTCATTTGATCTATCAGAATATCATCAGGATCTAAATACAAGACAGCTGAGTCATATGTTTGAATTAGAAACATATTGATTAATTCAACAATTCTTTAACTAACTTGATTTAACTAGGAACAGTTCTCAATTGCCTCCTTGATTTTGTCGTTAAACATGGCTCTTCATAGCTTACTTTTGATGCTGATCAAAAATCTGATAGTCGTTCCGACTGGCATTGATTTTCTATGTGGATCTTTGAGAACCGAAGTTCTCAAGACCCAACTTTCAGTGAACAAACTCAGACACATTGCAATTGTAGAACACATTGAATTAAATGTATCCAAAAAGCTATAGAATTTAGAGAGAACGTGTTTGTTAGTTTTATAGCTTTTGGATACATTTAATTCAATGTGTTCTACAATTGCAATGTGTCTGAGTTTGTTCACTGAAAGTTGGGTCTTGAGAACTTCGGTTCTCAAAGATCCACATAGAAAATCAATGCCAGTCAGAACGACTATCAGATTCTTGATCAGCATCAAAAGTAAGCTATGAAGAGCCATGCTTAACGACAAAATCAAGAAGGCACTCAGGAAACTCACTCCGTAAGCTTTAGAGGATCTTTGCTTGAATTTGGACTAGAAAACTTACATAAAATTTTATTTTTCGATTGATTTTGATTTATATTTGTGAATTGATAATCACTGGGTATCGCTGATTTTGTCCCAGCCAGTACAGTATTAGGCATTCGAACAGACGTTGATTCTTCGAGTAGTTGACTTTTACCAGCATCAGCTTTTCTTGTACCCGATAATGGCTTTTTTAGAGATGACACATTATTATTGCTGCCAGCTAAATGTGTATTTGGCGTATTTTTATTCATGTTCGATCGGCCCATCAATACATTAGGCGATTTTTGTTCTGTAGAATGTATTCTTGATGTTGCCATATTACTCGATTCACCAAAACTTGATGTTGTTATTGAATTTGAATGTTGTTCATCGTTATCATCGATATGCTGTTGTATTGCTAATGGTGGTGCTGCTGCCGTTGTAAAATGCTGTACAGTAAATTTTGTTGAACGAGATGGAGAAAATGTAGAGGATGATAATTTTTCTTTTTCTCGCTGTTGAACACCACCAAAACGTAATGGCGTCTGAGCTATAGAGGAAAATATAAACGGTTAGACTAAGTAAACGAGATCAAGAAAGAATAATTATCGACAACTAGTATTTTAATCTAATTAGTGTGTATCTTATTCACTGTGCGTGGATGTAGATAGAAACGATGAAATGAAAAGAATTACCTGAAATGGGAGATAAATGCATTTTTCTAATAAATCTAAAATTCTAACTAAGTGTACAGTATTAATCTGAAAAATAAAGGCACTACGATTTAATAGAAAATATACTTATGCTTAAACTTAAAGATCTAGGATCAGTCAAAAGATTAGGATTAGTCAATATTTAATGTACTGTTTGAATCTTTTTAAAAATGCTTTTTCGTCTTATCACTCGCTTCGGATTCAATTCATCTCAGCATACACAAATAAAACAACAACATGTATTTTATCAAAACATAATAAAAATCTGAAATAACGGAGATCTATGAAGAAAACAAAAGGAAAATAGAATATCCGTCACCTTACTATCTATTATATGGGTGATATTCACACATTTCTAAAAATTTCTACACTGAACTGAGACTAAACTCGCACATAGCTATACCTAGTGCACATGACTGTGGTGCACTAAACTTACACATAACTATTTCTGCTTTTAAACTACATAAATTTTCAATTTTTTGCATGAAAAATTAGATAAAAGTCAGCATGTAAAAAGCAGAGAGAATCATGAAACATGATTAAGTTGATAAATGAAAAAATCTTGTGTCCTTCCTTACTCCACTATTCCATAACTATTTGTACCAAACTAGTCTATAGATTATTCTGTTTCCTTAGTCGTGACAGATATAAAACAAAGAAAGAAAATCTGTATCTCTAATATATATGAGAATAGAATATAGATTATTTATATAATGATTTTTTTCTTCAATTGTTATCTTTCTTTCTTTTGCAATATGGTCAGAGTTAATACATAAAAACAGACGATTGTGTACAGATAAGTTCATGATAAAAGATAATGCCACATGAAAGTTTGCTGTTGCGTTATTTGAATTATGATTTTGAATTATGTGTTCGATGTTTATATTCAAAAAATTTTCTTGCATTAAAAATCATCGGTTTTTTTATTATTGTCACAACATTTCTTCTACTGCAAAATACAGATAATAAACGTAAAATGATCATACGTCATCGTCATCATCAAATGATGTTTAATAATGATAAATTAAATTCAACTCTTTCATTTGATAATCAAACAATACTAAAACCAATTATCGATAGTACTTATCATCGTTTAACAACACAATATCAATATTTAGACCCGTTCTTAGGTCGTCGTGTACAATTTTCCCATAATAATGAACGTCGTACAGCCCAAAGTGAAAAATGGTGTAAAGCACAAACAAAATATGTACGACCAATAGATCTTGAACAATACAAATGTATGAATATTAAACGAATTGGTGGTAAAGTTGAAGAATTAATTAATGTACCAAATGAAAATCATCGTGTTGATGGTGCATATTTTTTCTGTGAAGATTTAATTAAATATAATAATTGTCTGGTAGTTTCAATTGGAGTTGGAAATGATGATTCATTTGATGATGATATTCAAGAGTCATATGCTTGCCGTGTATTCTCATTTGATCCATATCAAGAGCCAGAACATGTTCGAAAATTAAGAAAAACACAAAATCAAGTTATTATTAAAATTACACAGACTTGGACATTTTATCGTTTAGGCATAACAGCATCAGCCGTAATAGATAATGATCCATCGTCCATTGGTACTTTATTACCAATTCAACAATTAATTGAATATGTTAAATTAGATGATGATAGTTCAATTATTATTCATATATTGAAAATAGATATTGATAATGGAAATGAATGGCATTTATTAGATGATCAAGAATTTATGACATATGTTTGTAAACATGTTAAACAATTATTATTAAAAACAAAACCAATACATTCAAAACGTTTTATGCACTATAGAATATTTACACTAAAATTAACAAAATGTTTTTCATTATTACGACGTGATCCAAGATTATATTTACTAATGACAAAACAACGAGATAATAATGGTGATACACAACAGACACAAACCGAATGGCAATTAACAAGTTTCAAATTAGATATTGGACTATTTTGTGATGAAATTGATTTAGCAATGTATCTTTTAATTTACGGAGATTTGTATCTAGTAAATACAAAATTGTGATATCTGATATTCGCATAGTCAGATCGATGCACTAAAACAAAATTGAGAGAAATAGTCGAAAAATTTTGATATTTCTCAAAGATATTCGGACAAAGTAGTAATGAAAAGTTGTTTGAAGTTCTTGACTATTTCTTACTGTAAATTTCTCATAAAATATGATACTTTAGATTGTGTCGAATGATCATGATTTTCACTTAATTTTAGTTTTTTGTCAAATGACAATAAACTTATCAGAAGTATTTTGCCCATTTTCTTTACCACATTCTCAATTATATTGTTAAAAGTTATAAATGTATATATATATAATAGAAAACATTAAAAAAAGGCAAAAAACAAACAGAAAATGACTGTTTAAAAAATAAGTGCAAAAGTTGTATAAGAGCAAAATATGAGCAAATTAATTATTTTTATCAAAATTTCGGTTATCTGACATTAATTTTTATTTCCTTTCTTCTTTCTTTCTATTTGTTTTCGTACGTCTGACGGTAATTTATTAAAACATTTTTTACAAACAGGCTTCGCATCAACATCATAAAATTTGCTTCTAAATAATAAAAGAATCAAAGTTAGTAAAAATTGATCAAATATTATAACAGACACAAATTCATCGTACTTTTCGTCCATTTTTGTTTCACATATCATACAAGCAAAATGATCGACACAATATGTTTTATTACACGCTGTAAATACTAAAGAGAATGAAAATCAATGATTAGTTTCGAAAATTATTGTTTTACATACCATCCCCAGATATGATCGTATTACATACAAAACATGTATTACCAAATAAATGATGATAATCTGTTTCACAGTAAGCAATACCTAAAGAAACAAAGTTACTCTTCATCTCGCAAAACAGAACAAAGTCAAGAAAATTTTGATATAAATTTATTAAGATGATACAAATGAGCATAGTTAATTTCATCTATAGATACATACCATTTTTTTCATAATGTTTTGAACCTAGAAATGGCTTTTCACAGCGTCCACATGCAAAATGCTGAAAAATAAATTGATTTTGTTTATTGTACTGATGTAAATATGAAATTTATATATATGTTTACCTCGACATGCCATTGTTTACCTAATGCATTGATTACTCTATCCTCAATTTGTGTTCGACAAGCAGCACATACAGCCACTTCTAATTGATCATAACAACGTAAACAATATAATTCACCACGCACTTCTCGAGCATTTTCATTTAGTTCAGAGCTAAATAACAAAAAACAAAAATGCAGTAAGAAACATACTAACATATTAGAGAATGTTTTACCTGCAGACTTGACATCGAAAATGATAGGCATGATAGGATTCACCTTTGTATTTTAAACAATTTTCATCCAAGGATAAACTAAAGTAAAAAAAGTGTATTAACTTAGTCGTTAAACGGATAAGAAGTTAAAAGTTTGTTTTAATGAACATCTGAAGTGAAATTAAGAATTGCATAGAACTTATGTTCTATAAATATACAGGCAACAGATCGTAGGTATCATGTTGAACCTCGAAATAGGATGTGCGAAGCTTTTTTCTTAAGAGTATCTCTATCAATGCATAAAATATACAGAGCTTTATATATGACGTTGAGAAATATCAGTTTTACACTTCATCCTATATTTTTTGGAAGGTAAAGAAGAGATACTTTCACAATGGATTAATGAAATAATGCAGAAAACGTTGTTTTACAGGTCGATCACTTACTGACATTTTGAACAAACAAGTTTGGATAATATCTTTGACTTTTCTTTTACATGGCAATCACGACATAAAGCTCTGCAAATACAAAGAAAACAGTTTGAAAGTCTTTTTATAATAATTTAAAAAATACTCCCACTGAGGATCTCAAGATTAAACGGATTTAGAACCCTTGCGCACAATCTTGTATACACACGCACACAGACAGATGTGTATATTCATCCATGCCACATATTCAAACATCTGTCTGTGCGTACAAAAGATGGCGAACTAAAGTCTCGACTCTGTAAAACATATAAATATCGAAGTGACTAACCTTCCAGCATTTTTTAAAAATCCCATTTCAATTAAAGCCTTATGACATAATTCACATCGAAAACAATCCGGATGCCAACTTTGTTGTAATGCTCTGATGACACGACCAATGATGAACCTGTCTTTTTTAATAAATGAAATAGATTTAATAGATCCGTATTTTTCAATGTTATTATTCTTTATTGTACTTACTACATTTCGCACAACATGGCGCAAATAACATTTGAAAGTCACGCTCACAATATTTTCGATTATCATACTACAAGTATAAATGTTTAACAAAAATAAAAAGGTTCAATTTCTACTAAACATTAATATTCATACTTCAAAATAGATTCCATTGCCAAATGGTTGAAAACATTGAGCACAACTAAAATATAAACAAATACTATAAAAACTCAGTTGTTTACTCATTTTAAATTAACCTACACAAAACAAGTTGAATGCCATGTTTCACCAGCAGCATTGACTATTTGCTCATTTTCGGCAAATGATTCATTACAATTTTTACACACTTTATCTGACAACATAACACTACAATAAAGTAAATTATCGATGCAAAACAAACAAATAGACAGACAGAATCAACACATATCATCTAATCTATTCTCACAAAAAAAATATGTTCGAATAAGTTTGCGTTCGCTTGAAGAATCGTAAACATGTCAGATTAAGTCGTAGTGTGAATTGTTAGAAAGTATAACAACTGTCTAAAGACATGTCACATTTTCTATAAAATAGTATATTACATAAAAATACATACTAACATAGATTTAATCTTCATAATAGGCATCTTAAATCATAATTATTTAAATCAACTACCGTTTCTAACAAGAAAACATCTTTTTAAAATTCGAACTCTCGCATGCAACTATTACATATTTCATGCCAACAAAATTCTAGATTTAAACAGCATTATACTTTGTGTGAAAAATAACTGTCTCTTTCACGTAATCTAATAATTGAACCAAGTTTAACTAGTCTTTTTGATGTAACTAATTATTACTGGTATTTTTGTACCTTTTCTCCTAACATCATCATTCTCATTCACACATTTCTTTTTTTAAACTTGAAGGATTTATCTGCATAGAATAATAAGGTTTCTGTCTACATTATCACAGTAGAGAGATAAAGAACGATAATATTCCGACGAGATCTGTTCTCAGATGACATAAAACAACTGTCATTAGCAAGTTAGAAAAACTAAAAAACTAATATTTCATAGATTAACTCTAATATAATGGTTGAATGTCTAATACGCGCAAGAAACACTCAAACCATCCGGAATATCCGATCAGTTCAATATAGTTTCGTATTTTTTCATTTATTCATTGGTTACACATAAAGCAAAGTACCTAGACAATGAACGAATACTTCAATAATATTCTCTCAACATTTGATTGTTAAGATGAGAAAAAAAATGCTTAAATAAAAACGAGACACTTTTTGTTTTTTATATCTCACCAAAACATATTAATTGGTTTAACATCACATTTAAATAAATTTGTCCGTTGTTGATTTGAACATTTCCTTGACAATGTTTCCGAACCTATATCACTCGGTTTTATATTTAAATCATCTAATAAATGATTTAAGATGGCAATACTTGTTGATAAATCATTTGAAGATGTTTGACTTAAATTTGTATTATTACGATCAATAGCGATTGATAATGATGACGTTGAACAATTTGATGATGAAACATCAGCATCATAAATCGCTTGAATTTTTTTCTTTGGTATTGTTGTTTGTATTCGTTGATTATCAAATGATTTACTTCGACGAATTATATCATTATCTCGAAATTTATTTAAATCTATTGTACTATGATTATCATCATTTTTTGTTCCTGTAATTGCCACTAAATCAGATAGAGCATAATTTAAATTTTTTTCTTTTAAAAGTAATTCTTTAAGAAGAATTGTTTGATCATTATTGTTCACATTTTGATGATGAGTTGATCGTATTTTTGATTGAGCAGCAATTACTTGATCAATATCTGTACTTCTTGTTGTTAACATTGTTAAAATATCGTTATCACTATCAAAATTTATCTTGTCATTCAATAATTGTTGTTTATTATTACTAGTGCTGCTGCTAGTACTAGAAAAAGCACTTCTCTTTTTATCAATACTTTTATCATTATTATTATTTCTGTCTAGTTGTTCTTCGTCATTTTCTATTTTCTCTATAACAGAATTTGAAGGCACCAATGTTGTCGTCGTAGTCGTTATATTTTTATTATTATTATTATTTGTCAAAGCTACTAATGATGGTGATGACGATGAAAGTGTTACCGTTTCTAGTTGTGGTTGTAATAAAATAGAATGAGAAGAAATAGTCGAACATACGGATGATGTTGTTATTGTTTTTGACATTGAAGATTCTATTATTGATTTATCCTTGACTGCGATAACCTCTTGAACATCTGACATATGTTTATAATTATTATTACATACATTTATTTTAGACCATACATTATTATTAGTATTATTATCATTATCGAATATTTGACGATGTATTTCTAGAGGAACATATTTTTCGACTGTTTGACTACAATTATCAGCAGCAAGTATCTCAAAATTTCTACTTATTTCATTCAATTGATTGACAGAATTTAATATTTCAGCTAATGATGTGTCAATTGACAACATTTGACGAGATATTTGTTCAACATCATCAATATTACGATTTTCTTCTTCTGCCGATGGCTTATCCATCTGTTTTGGTTCTTGTTTACTACTCATTGATAGATCTGTTTCATGACTAAATGAACTTGAACGGGTTTGATCAGCACTTGTATAAGGAATATCAGACGAATCTCGTCTGACTAAATCTAATGCACTAACAAATGTTGTTCGAATACGTGTTGTCTTTTTACTGTTAATATTGCCTCCAAGTTGTTCAAATTCTTTAATTAATGTGGATACAGGCAAACTATTTTCTTCTTGACTGCTAGCTTTGGTAATTTCCACAGATGCTGATGGTGTTTGGTAAATATCTTTAGAATGATGTTTTTTACGTGTATGCATACGTAATAAAGCTTGATTTAAATCTTCTTGACTTACACAAAATCGTTGTTGAGTAATCTTTTTACCATGATGTCGTCGTTGTCGTTCAAAAACAGATTTTGAAGATGAATTTGAAGATGAGGAAGAAGTTGTTTCAATCAATTGCATTTTCAAAAAATGTGTTTGTTAAAAAATTTATTTTTTACGATTGTTATATTTTTTAATTAACAGCAGAACTCTATTATATGTTATTATTACTACTAGTTATTTAAGAAATTTGATATGATAACGATAAACAATGTTTCTATTGAGGAAGAAGAATAAAATTGTTCTGTGTTATATAATAAGAAGCAAACGGTTAAAATTTCAATTTCCAGAAAGAGGAAATACATACAGTTCCAGGTATAAACAGTACAATTAAATTTCTACAATTGTACTGAAGTAAACGCAGTGTAAATTTGACTTGTAGCAATGATTAATACTGAACTTAATAAATACTGAAATGAGTAGACTGACATTTTTAGAGTTAAAAATAGAAACATTCACAGATCAAGTCTTATCACTTTATTTATAGCATAGACTGGATCCAGGGGCGCCCGCTAAGGGAAGAGAAGGAGGGATCAATTCTGGAGTAAGATATTTATTCCTATTTTGAAAGTAAAAGACTTACTCTCAGTAACTCTTTTACTCTCAGTTTCGTATGGAACCAGGACGACATATTTTAGTTTAATTTTCTTGACTTCTTTTTTATTTTTATTTCTATATATTTGCTATGTTGGTGTTAAACGTTTTAGTAGTTGCTTTGTGTTGAAGTAAATAGAGCTGGATAGAAGGAAATTCAGTCTTGCTTTAGAAGAAAACTGCTTAGAATATTTATCTTTTTTTTTAGTTTTTACTCCGAAATTTACTTCGCCCCATTTTCCATTCCAGTTCCATTTTCTCTTTTTTATAAACAGATGTCTAGAACACGATTGTTCTAGAGCCAGCAAACTCTACTATGTGAATATTATGAAATATTTCGATGGTTACTGCTGAAGTAAAAAAATTATCGACAAGAGTATTTGGTATTGTACTTTCTCATGTACAACTGAAAATTTTTGGGAAAACAAAAGACGATTTATCATGTCTGTTTCTAACCAAATTCAAAAATCACCAAGATGCCGTATTGATGCGCATAAAAATTATATTTTTACTATTAAACTTAACTAACATATAAAAATTAATAAAAGAAAACATTACTACGATAGCAAAAAAAAACGGTCAAGAGCGCTGTGTGTAAATCTCGAAATCTCATAGCATTATGTCTTGCACCAATTCGTTATGATAGATAATTTTAACTAATTGTCAAAGAAAAACAAATCTATTTGCAAAAACAATATATGATCGACTCACCAGTTGAGATTTTGTTCGTACTGAACAAAAGACAAGCGTCAAGCATTTCAATTTTGTGAGATAATAGATTATATATATTTGTAACAAAGTTCGACACTTATAACTTTTAAAAATTTTCATCTGCGAGAGAGAAGCAAAATATTACTTAGGATGCATACAAGTTGAGGCGTCTCTGCACTTTCCCTAATAACGAAATTACTGTCTCAATTATAAACATTTTTTGTTCATCACGATAAACTGCACATTCGAATTACAGAGCGTCCATTCACACGATTTCGACGTGCAAACAATTGCGAGTCGATATGGTTATCATTCGAGACCGTGTATTTAATGTGATATTAATTCAACAACCGATACGTAAAGCAAAAACAAAATCATGCGAAAGAATAAATTCAATAGAAAATATTCGTACAACATGCTGTAATAGAGAAATTAAAAAATTCTCTTACTTGAATGTTCAGTAAAAAGCTCCTTTTACGTTTCACATCTAAAAATGAATATACACAATGAGTGATTAAAACTTAATCATAGTATCATTTACGAAGAAAAAATGAGCTGTGATAATAGCTTGCCGTCTACTTCCAGGAGTGAACTGGATACCGTCCTGAACTTATGTTCAAATCTCGGAGCCGACAAATTATGTACTAACCTTAGGCAAAGTATTCATGACTTAATGTCTTATATTACCCATTCGAGAGCATACACACTGCGTTATGACGTACGATTCAGTCTCCAATTAGTCGTTGTCGCTTTCAGAAAAAGCTGATACGTGATTAGCGAGCATGTACTTAAGCAATTGAGCGAAAAGAACTCTGCGTCAAGCTGGCCTTCTGTTCAGAACCGCAGTTGATGATTAGTAACGACATGGGTGACTATATTAGAAGCTTGTCAGGAAAAATATCGCTTGTCAATACCCTACACTCCGAATGATACTTCCTTCTTTGCAGAATTTGTGAGTTTTAAAATAAACATATTATCTACAGAAAACAATAATAGTTTTTTTACTAATATTTAGAAGAAGAAAAAAGAAAAGAGGTTTTAACATTTTGATAAAAAAAAAAGAGGAAAATGGCTACAACCACCATCAAGTTGAGCGATGAGTTTCTATTTTATCCTGTTCAGCTTCTTTGTTCATATTTAGAAATCATATTGAATCTCATCACGATTAGTTTTTAGATATAATAAATATCACAGAATGTCAAGAAAGAGAAAGAAATCAAATCAAAATGAGAACATATTAATTAACAAAACAAATGGGTTCTTTTTTGCACAAAGCAATTAACAAAAACAAACATAAAAGCAAAAAAAACAACAAACTGTTTTCCTGATTAGTTATCTTTAGATGTTGATGAGGGTAAAATACTATTACTGAACATTTGTGGAATGCTGTTACCAAAATAAATTTTCGAATTTTGGGCGATTGCTTGATATTTTGAATATTGAAGATATTCGGGTGTTAATTTAATTTTATTCGATTCTGATTCACATTCGGCTAGAAAATAGAAGAACGTATTTGTCATACTAATTGTTAAACAACAACAAAAAAAATATTTACCTTTATATTTTGCAGCATCTGCTAACGATCTTTCTCTAGCTAAATGCATTTCTGCTTCAATTTCGGCAACTAAAAACAAAAATATTAATATAATAATTCGACTGGAAATATAAAAATGACAATTTTACAGTATTTTAACCTATAACTAAAAGGCTATCTAATGATCTAAAAATCCAAATCAGCTTTTACAATGTACATTTAATTTCAGCACATTTCTTCTGTTATTTAAATACACACTCACTTTTCTTATCGCTTTCTTTGCCCATGATTTTTTGTTCAAATTGTATTTTTGCTACTTGAGCAACTTTTTCGGCTTCAATAATTGCTCGTCTTCGATCAGTTTCTGCTTCTTTTTCCACAACTTTTTGATGTTCAGCTGTGATGAGATATTGAGTTTTTTCTTGTTCCATACTTTCATAATTTCCTACATAATCCCAAAATTTATATTTTTTTATTCCTATAACTAATATTAACAATGTGATTTGTTCTTACTTCGAATAGCTTCTGGAATTTTTGGTTTTGTGACTAGAAAAAAAACAACAGATGAACATAAGTCCCAATAATTGAAGAAATGATTTTCTAACTAACCTCGAATTGATGAAACGTATAAGCCTGGTGCAAGAACATTCAGATCTGTTTGTAGTGTACGTTTTAAATGATCGTCGATCGACGAAAATAAATCAATGTATACCTCTTGAAGAGTGTGTATTGAACAAAATTGATTCACTTCATGATGAATCTTATTGAATATTCTATAATAATATACATTCTTTAGATTTTTTCTTTTATGTTTGTCACAACATTCGAACTTACAGCGTTCGATCATATGATACAGTATAATTTTTCACAATATCAAATACTGCATCTCGATTTAAAATATTAACAACTTCAATCTTTTCGAAATAAATCATAACACCACCACTAGTACCGCACGGAATATTTTTCACTAAAACGAAAACACAGAATGATTATGAAAGATGTCTATGAAATAGATATTATAAAGTACCTTCATCAGTCTGTAATGTTGTTTGTACAATTTTAACAGTTGTTAAAACTGGGAGCATTACATGATAACCCGGATCACTTATTGTTTTCAATAGTGCGCCGCCTCTTTCAATCAAAAGAGAGATTGAATAAATTCCATTATCTTCTAACTTCAAATAGAAATTTTTACCTATAGTAAACTCCGACATGTCCTTCAGGAATTTGATGTATACTAATAGCAAATATAATGCCTGCACCAGCTAATACAATCAGCCATTTGATAAACATACTTAATAACGCATCAGCTTGAGGCATGTGGATTCCAGAAGGCTTAAAAGTATAACTTCTTTTAGATTTAAGCTATCTATAGTAAACACATTTCAATACTTTGTTGATATCTGAAAGAAGAATTTTTATATTTTTCAAAGATTCGATTCTTGTTTTGTTCATTTCAAAACATTTCAGAATCGCTTTATAAGACAAATGTGATTCATAGCGTAACAAAAAAGATGTACATAAATCACATATTTCTTTTTCAGCTTTCTCTAATAATCAATTTGATTCAACACACTTTTCTTATGTGAATGCATCGAGTTATATAAACAGTAAGTGCGCTAGGGTTTTTGATGTTTTCGACTTTGTTATGATCATGATCAACAGTTACGAGTCTGGCTCTACAATCAACGTAGTTTTCTGATATTTTATGTTGATTGTAATGATTTGTTTCTGACAATTTTTCTCTAGCCATGAGGTAGCATAATTTAGCTTGCTGATCTGATCTGACCTGGCTTACTATACGCGCAACTACCATAATATGGGAAAAACTCATGGCCTAGGCCTATGAATACCATCCGCAGTATTACTAACACACTAACAGTTTACACAAAATGTCGAATCAGAGTAGATCCCATCCGATAACGTAGCAATGCGTTACTTTTCTTATACTTCGACGTATTAGAACTTCTATTGTTTATTCTATATCGGTCATGAACGTCTTCAACATTTATATGAACGATATCGCCGTCTATACAATATAATATCCACTAACGCCATCTTTTACTCTCTTACTGCTATATTTCGAGTAAATTGCAAGTAGAGTTGCCATCTTGAAAGAAGGATCTGAAATGACCAAAAGAAAATTTTTTATGCATTTTTAGGAAATTATTCAAGTTAGTCAATTTTTTTCGAAGATAAATGTGCGTTTTAGCAGATTTTGCTGCTAAAAAAAACGGATGAAAAAAGTCAATCTGCGTTAGACAACTTCGATATTAGATAGAGAAATCACACAATTTTAAGACTGAAGAGTTGTGAATCTTTGTGAAAGGCATGTCGTTCTAGATTCCACCCAATGCCAAATTTTCTACACGGCTTGTCTCACCAAAACGAGAAAATTAAAAAACGCGTTTTGATCCAAATTTTCTTGTTTTGGTGAGACAATCCACGTTGTTCAATCCACGTTGTACAAATCGGGGAAACCGTTGGTTAACCGCGGCTAACCGACCGTTTTTCTGGTTAATTGTGAGGTTAACCGTCGGGTTTTTTGCTATGTTGCTATGGTTTCAGCTGAAATAACCGCGGTTAACCCCCAATTTTCGTCCGATTTCAACAACATGGGTAAGCCACGTAGAAAATTTGGCAATGGGCAGTTCATCCGAAAACTTCAAAAAAAATTGAGCATTCATGTCACCGGATTGAAAAATTGGAAAAGCTTGTTCGATCAAAACCGATTGCAGACTCATCTTCTTCGTAGTTGATTATCTGGTACGCGATAACTTTCGAATCGGGGGTTAGGATTAGAAAATTTTTGGACATCGGTTTGTCTTTAACCTCATATAGTAACTTTTTCTAGAATTTCTGAGCAAGACCATGAGAAAATTTTTTTCTGAAGTATCTCGATCTGAAAGTTCTCACGTACTAGATATGTTACGTGTTAAGTTGGACTATGAAGAAGACGCGTCTGCAATCGATTTTGACCGAACGAACTTTTAAAATTTTTCGATCTGCTGATATACCTCAGTCAAGAATCCTGTAGAACTCTAATGATGATATTCACTGTTTTGTTTTGTAGAGTCACAGAGTTCCAGGTCAAAGAATCTTACTGTAAGTTCTTATAAGATTCTTATAAGATCTTATATGATCTTGTATGATCTTGTAATATCAGACAAAAATCGTACCAGATCGTATAAAAATCTTATGGAAAATCATAGAAACTGATTCATCTTATAGAATCTTACAGTAAGATCATATAAGATCTTATAAGATTGTACAGGTATCTTATCATACGATTCGGTCAGATCATTGCAGGATCTCATCTGACTTTGTGCTATTTGCTGCAGCTGCTAATCCGCTCCCTTTTCGCTTCCATTTGGTGTCAAATTCCATTATAGTTTTGCTTTCTACACATCCTTTTATTCACAGATATATCTGTGTGATTACAACATATACATCCCAGGGCGTTCAAAACGGCCAAGTTAACGTTCCGTTAAGTCTACGTTAACGGGCCAGAAACGTGACGTTTTTCGAAAACGGCACGTAGTACACCGTTTTTAAAGAGGAAAAGTGCTTCGAACTGCGACCTAGTGACGTTTTTTGCCCAAGGGCATACCCGAAGAAAGGCATGCCTAATCGATCTCTAGCTTTGTGGAAGGCTTTTAGCTCGCTATGCTTGATTCCACCATGTTTAAAAAATCAGTTAGTCGACGAAACGGGACGATACCCGTCATAAGCTGTATCTGAAAAGGAAAAGTCAGTATTAATACAAAGTCAGAGAAAGTACACAGCAATTTCGACCCACTGTTCTTCTACTATACATGAACACCTCCTAGGCCATAGTCATACTGTTAAACTATCTAGTTTTCGATAAGCTTTGGAGTTTGCTTTTGAGAAACATTTTCTCAGGTGAATTTAAGTCCCACTTCGCTGTATCTCGCAATTCTGATTCGATCATATGATTGAAAATGATCTTAAATTAAATGTGAGAAAGACTGATGCCTTTTAGTTCATTCAATTATGAGTTTAACCAATAAGGTTACGTTTGCCGTATGTGAAGCATCGAGCATTCATGCTTGAACTTTCAGAGAGTACCCCGTGGATATTATCGAACATCCGTGGATATTATCGCTCGGACTAGTTCGTTGCTAGAATCATTCTAGCATCCTGTGAATGAGGCGGAATGACTGAGTCCCAATCCTCTGTGCGTCAAACAGAACCGAACTGATCTTTGCTACATCCTGAAAGTCACTGATGACAAAGCGATCTTACACCGAGGATACTCACATTTGTGAAGACGTCAGTCTCCGAGGCATTTTCTCACTTGTGTGCATTTTTATTTTGAGATCTCGTACAATCACTATGTTTAACTGAATCTATACAAAAGGAGACCTCTTAGATTTTATGCATTATCTGAGAAAGATAAAGAGATGCTGTAATATGATCCAAGAAGGATGTCCCTAGTCGAGACTCCCGGCAAAACTCCAACGGGAGTCCCAAGTTTATGAAAAACTCCAGCAGGAATCGTAAGGAGTCCTGATGACTCTCGCAGGAACTTTCTAAAGTGAAAAGTCCAACATGGAG